CCGGGTGCTTTCAGCTCCCCTTCCAGCTTAGGGGCGGAAACGTCCAGGTCTCCCGTCACTCTGGGGCCTTTCAGGCTCAAGTCGACCTCAGGCGTGGAGATCTGGGGGGTCTTGACATGTACCTCTGGCATCATCACTTTGGGACCTTTGGCATCAATGTCCATTCCCAGTTGGGGACCTGTCACGTCAAGTTGGGGACCTTTCAAGTTGCCCCCCATCTTTGGGATGGAAACGTCCACTTCTCCCTTCAGCTTTGGCCCCTTCACGTCAATGTCCATGTCTGGTGCAGACCCTTTCAAATAACCTCCTGGACCTTCCAACTCAACACCAGGAGCTTTCACGTCCACCTGGAGACCCTTGGAGCCAAGTCCTTTGAGATCCCCTTCCACCCTGGGGACCGCGCCGCCCACGTCGCCCTTCACCTGCGGGCCCTTCAGGTGCAGGTTCACATCCGACAGAGAAATTTGTGGCGTTTCCACCTTCTTGACCGTGGGACCTTTCCATTCTCCTTTGATGGCCAGGCCGGGAAGCCCAACGGCCACCTCGGGCGCTGCCGGTCCCACCTCACCCTTTGGGAGCGACGTTTCCCCTTGCGAGTCTGAGGTGGTGAATTTTGGGAAAGTCATGTGCGGGATTTTGACTTTTCCCATGGCACCGTGAACGTCGGCATCAGGAGGCAGGAGTTCGACGTTGGGTCCTTTGATGCCGACACCAGGAAGCTCCAGTTCTGGGGCAGGGACCTTCCCAGCCCCCTTCAGCCCCGCATCCACCTGGAACGTCGGGACTTGAACGGAAGGAGCTGAAACTTGGGGTCCCGTGAGCTGGACGGATGAAGAGGCGACATCCACACACGGAGCCGGTGGCATCGGCGCAGAGATGTCGGCACCGACCTGTGGGACTTGAGCGTCGGATCCCGTGGCCGAGAACCCAAATTTGGGAATTTTCAAAACGGGAATCTTGATTTTTCCCACGTCGACAGGTGGATTTTCCACTGTTGGGAAAGAAACGTCGACTCTGGGGGCTTTGATGTCTCCCTGCAGGCAAGGGGCAGAAGCGCTGGCGTGCGCCCCGTGGACGTCCACGCCTGAAACGTGTCCTTTGCCCTCCAGCCTGGGGCCCTTGATGTGAAAACCCGCCTCCAGGTTTCCCATCTGTCCATTGGTTTCAATTCTGGGCGAGCCTGGGAACGTCGGGCCGGAAATTTTACACCCTGGCACCTCCACTGTCACGGATTTTCCAGTTTCCCCACCAGGAACTTGGATTTCCGGTGCCATTTTGATGTCGGTTTTCCCAAATTCTGCTTCGACATCGGTCTTCACCCCATGGCCGGTCTCCTTGGTGGGGATGCGGATTTTGAATTCGGGGCCGAGGACGTCGACGTCTTGCGTTCCGTCGTGCCGGGTGACGTCCACCGTGTACGCCGTCACTTTTTTGGTGACCGTGATGGTCCTGCTCTGCGTCCCGCCGCTCTCCGCTTCCACCAGCTCCTCCGACTTCAGCCGGGGTTTGATTTTGGTCGTGTAGATCCTCCTGTATTCCTCGTCATCCCCGCTCTGGAAATTAAAAAAAACAACCTTCATTAGCACTGGGATGCTTCGTGTCCCCAGCCCTTCTCGTCCCTTTTCCCCACCCACTCACCAGCACAACTTCGGGGCTGCTGGGCGCGAAGACGTCGTGTGCCCAGGTCTGTCCCGGCAGCGGAGATTTGTCCCCTTTCCGTTGCAGCCGCAAGCCCACGGTGTGGTGGCCCATGCTGTTCAGCAGCTGCGTCACTTCCCCGGATTGCAGGTTGTCGAAATAAACTGTGGCACTCACGATCTGATCCCCTGGGGGGGTACGGGGTCAGGGAGCGGAGGGGCGACAGGTGAGATATGGCGGAAGGGAAGAGGACCCCCCCCCATCCCCATCCCGACCAAGAGGGGCAACGACGCTTCAGCCATTGGGTTATCGCCCAAGAAGAAGAAGAAAGACCTAACCGAGAACCACCAAGATGGACAAAATGGACACAAAAGCCCCATTTTTCCCCAAAAAAAGACCCTTTTCCCACCACAAGATGAGGAGCAACCACACTTGAGCCGTTGGGTTATGGCCCAAGAAGAAAGAAGCAACTGAAAACCACCAAGATGGAAACAACGGACAGAAAACCCCCATTTTTTTGCCCCCCAAAAGCCCCTTTTTCCACCAACATGGGCAAAAAAACCACAAAGAACCAGTTTTTACCCCCAAAAAATCCACCAACCCAATTCCAACCAAGACAAGGAGCAACGACGCTTGAGCTGTTGGGTTATCGCCCAAGAAGAAGAAGAAAGAAGTGACCGAGAACCACCAAGATGGACACAAAGAACCCATTTCCTCCCAAAAAAACCCCTTTTCCCACCCAAGCAAGATGAGTTGGGTTATTGCCCAAGAAAGAAGAAACTGAGAACCACCAAGATGGAAAAATCAGAAAAAAAGAACCCATTTTTCCCCCCAAAATGGACAAAACAGACACAAAGAACCAATTTTTCCCCAAAAAAAATCCACCAACCCAATACCGACCAAGACAAGGAGCAACGACTCATGAGCCGTTGGGTGATTGCCCAAGAAGAAGAAGAAAGAAGTGACCGAGAACCACCAAGATGGACAAAATGGACACAAAAACCCCATTTTTCCCCAAAAAAGCACATCCCTTTTCCCACCATCATGAGCAAAACAACCACAAAAAACCAAATTTTTTCCCCAAACCCCGCCCCCATTTTCCCACCCTAAGCAAGACGAGGAGCAACAACGCTCGAGCTCTTGGGTTATTACTCAAGAAGAAGAAAAAAGAAGCAACCGAGAGCCACCAAGATGGAAAAAAACCCCAATTTCCCCCCCAAATCAAGAGGAACAACCCTTGAGCCGTTGGGTTTTTCCCCCAAGAACAAGAAGGAAGACGCAACCGAAAACCACCAAGATGGAAAAAAACCCATTTTTCCCCCCAAATCAAGAGGAACAACCCTTGAGCCGTTGGGTTTTTCCCCCAAGAACAAGAAGGAAGACGCAACCGAAAACCACCAAAATGGAAAAAAAGCCAAGAATCCATTTTCCCCCCCAAAAAAAAAAACCCGACCCCGCCCTCCGCCGCGGCCCCACCTTCCCTGACGACGCCCATCCTGGCGGCCGGCGAGTTCTGCTGCACTTGTTTGACGAAGACGCCGGCGTCCGTCTGGTCGATGGTGATGCCGTGGGAGCCGCTGCCCTGCCAGTTGGGGAGCAGGATCTCCCGCGTCTCCTCCTCCTTCTCCATCTGGGGACGGGACGAGGCCGAGGATGAGGAGGGCAAGACAAACGCGTGGGGTTTTTTAGGGGTTAAACCAGTTGCATCTCACCTACCTTACTGGGAACGCTGGTCCTGGCCGGATCCGCCCCAGGAATCTCTCTCTCTCTCTCGTGGACCTTGTGGCAGCTTTCGTGTCCCGTCCCAGCCTGGAGGGGACATAAAGATGAAATTTTTCACCGGAATTTTTTTCCTGAATTTTCAACACCCAAACGACCCAACGCGCCGCCCAGTTGGGCGACTCTGCCCAAACTGGGACGTTCTCGGTCAACGGGCCAAGCAAAAAAATTGCGTCAAACTGAAATTTGGGGACCTTGTGGCAGCTTTCGTGTCACCGTCCCAGCCTGGAGGGGACATCAGAGAGATGAAAATTAAATTTTCCACCAGAGTTTTTTCCTTCAACACCCAAACAAGCCAACAAAAATATTTGTAAAAAAATTAAATTTTAAAATATTTTAAAATATCTTCTCAAATCTTTGTATTAAAACATTAAAAATAC